AAATATTCAAATCTGGGACGTGATTTAAAGCATGCTGCGGAGCGACACACAGCCAAAGATCACGTAACTACCGTTGATGAAAAACTCGCGGCCGCTACAGCAATTGAGGCTATTCTTTGCTTCATCGTGGCATTTGTTGCCGATGATCAATCCAAAGCGCTATCCCGGCAAACTGCAGATTCGTCTTCCTGGCTATCTATCCTCGCATATTGGCGTGTTGTAAAAAAGAATAGCACTCCCTATCCGCGCCTGCATAGCCTCTGCCTCATACTTGGTGCTGTCTCTTATGATGCCATTCACGCACTTGATCTTGAGCGACTTGCCGCCACACCTTTACCTGGGGAGAACACGCCAGCGCCCACTCCAGGGAGCGATGAAAACCCTGCTGCATCGGAAGACCATAAGAAGAGCCGGAAAGAGTTTGTGGAGCTGAAGAATAGACCGCACGAGTGCTATAGAGAATCCCAGAAGTTATGGCTCGAAGGCTCACGCGGTCTTTGCGAAGATGTGCTTTCGCGTGAGTTTCCAAGTACCTGGTCTAAACGATCCAAGAATTTCTCAGAGTTGGGAAGGCAACGCTTGAGAGCTGGCGACTATTCTGGCGAATTTTTTTTGCCAGTTGGACGGACCAACGCCCCCCTAGAGGTAGTCCGGTTCAGTCACGCATTTCTGAGTGAGTGGTGCGCCAAGGAAGGTGTGGGATGGAACAGCCGACTCAAGCTGTAAATGTGACGAGTTCATCCAGGCGTTCTGCTATGTCGTTCGTGTCACAATCTGCGGTCCATTTCAATGGCTTTCAGTTGGCGTTTGTGGCAGCAGGCGTGTACAGGGAATAGATTTTGCCTGCTGTTATTGTTACATGATACCACGGGTTGTATGTGCTTATGCTTAAGAGGAGGCAAACATTCATCATTTATTTATCTGCAACGTAGGTCTGGGAGATACGTTGGGGGTGCAAGAATTTTCAATCGACTATATTGCTATATCATTCAGCGTACATCTATGGGATTGGAGCTTAGAATTTGAGACCCGGGCACTGGGGCCTGTAGGGTAATGCGCCTGTACACTTAGTAACCACATCTGGAAAGCGAATCTAACTACGCTACTACGCTAGTGGTAGTCATCTTGAATTTTTATCCTTTCTTATTCTATTCTATTTATCTTATTCTCTTCCGAGAGAAAGTACAACCAGGCGAATGAAATACGCTCCGAGGTGCCTTACGCCAAAGTGGCAAAGAGTCAAATAAGATGATATAGGCTCTAATAACGATCTAGATATGATACCTGGCATAAGTCGTTCATTTAGCAGCAGATGTCTCCCGCAGACATAGTGATAAAGAATAAACACAATCGCTAAGCCGAAGCCACTCAAACCCCCCGAAGCGCAATACCGCCATCACCAGATATTCGAAAATCCTATTCGAGCTCAGGATTGACAGTGCGGTGATTACTAAGCCGTAGATGTCCTCTCAATGAGAATCTGACATTCCTTTCATGGTCGCACAGAGATACCTACCAAGTGATAGCTCATGGATCCTCAAAGCGCGTATTCCTGGAAACAGACCCAGGCTCTTGGCCGAAGAGCCAGCCAGCTTCTCGGCAGTACCTTGCTTCCCGGCCGTAGGCTCCAACTTCGCTACTCCAACAAATGATTGATGCATCGACAGTATCTGCAATTACACCTTCAATTGCTCCCAGCACACTCCAACCGATCGTCCCAGCAATGATCCCGACCATGTAGGCATACATGCTTCCGCGGATTGAACCGTTGGTACCCATCACACTTAGGCTCCGAGCAGTGCTCACCCAGCCACCAAACCCAAGTGCAAGAGACATCATGAGACGGGCCGCATGCAGGATGAGCTTGGAAAGTCGATAAGGAAGAAGAGTTGCAGAATGCCCACGAGACCAAGAGAACGACCGTGGGTGTAGAGAAGTCGTCGCTATGGAGGGCGTCAGGTTTGTCATCTGCACCAGACCACGAGCGGACACTGCAAGCGGCTGGGAATGAATGGACGCATATGTGAGGGTTAGAGGGTCCGTGAGGGCAGTTATAGGAGTTGGGACAAAGGAATAGGCGCAGAAACTCAAAAGTGACGCGATACGACCGGGAAGCAACAAAAGCGGGACGCGGATCATTAGAGCCAGGAGGCTCGATAGGCAAATTGTACCAAAAAGGGTTGTAGCGGAGTGCAGAGTTGCGGCTTGGACTATTTGCCTGGAGGTCGGCGCTGGCGTCGTAAAGCGATGAAAATACCATTGACTCACCGCGGCAGCTGTGACTGTACGTCGAATACCAGCGATGACTCCCAGTGACCATGCGTAAACGAGCACATAGTAGATTCCTAAGCACCAGCTGCTTGAATCGACAACAAAAAGGCTGGACCGAGAAATATGACCTTCCAAAAACACTCGCGTAAACATGAGCATCCATAACCAGGTCCATAAGACAATGAGAATGAGGGCACCGAGCCCCAAAGCTAGAAGCTCTGGATTCACGGCGAGGATGCGGCATGCAAACTCAAGTATGTCGACGGCCCTTCCTATAGCGCGGCGGCCTCGAACGACGTTGTAAATCCATGCGCTAGCCAAAATAAAGGGAATAATAGACCCGCATCTCATGACTTTGTCCTGAACACTTGATCCGTGCCAGACACCCCCAAAGCTCGAGATAAAGGGGTAGAGAAAGAAGGAATACAGTATTATGGGAACGGCGACGAGGATAGCGTAAACCAATGGACGTACATAGGAGCGTAATAGTGCCAGCCAAAGCAGAGATATAGATATCGACGCGATGGTATAGGTACCCAGCAGGTAAAATGAACTGTGGATGGTCAAGTAGACAGTGTCACCCCATTTGGACTTGTCACCGGAAGGAGGTGAAGTGTGAAGGTAGATAAGAAATGACGTAGCGAAGAGAGAGGCCACAGATATTAGAAACAAGTGACCCCAAAAGCCATCATGAGCTGGAGAGCTAGAGCCTACCGGTGGGGTCGACGTTCGATATGGCCGTGACGTGCCTGGCGGTTGAGATGTTTCTGGCACTACTGCGTTATCTGAATCTATAGGAAGGAGAACTGAGTCTAGTCCGAGATTGCCCGTTCGTGACTGTGGCTGCTCTCGAAACCGTTGAACGGAAGGCGGTTTATCATCACCAAATCCGGGAGAGTCAGCCCGGTCGCGGCCAACATCGGATGCCAGTGTATCTTCCAGGTGAACGTCAACTAATTTCCCCCTGAGCCTGCTTCTACTTCGCTCTGTGTGAATAGACTCCTCCGTTCCGTTTGGCTCCCCGTCGTACTCAACACGCGAATCTTGCGCTCTGTCACTAGCTTCGGCGTCGCGCCAGGAGCTCCAAATGCCCTTCTTCCTAGTATAAGGGGGCTGTTGTTCCTTCGAGCTGGCAGAGTCGTTATCGTCGCCAATTTCTGAAGACTCCCTAAGGTAGCTGCTCCCAAATTGGCGCCGAGATTTTTGTAAGGCATAGAAGTCAGCAATCTCTCGCTCATGCTCAACCTCATCATCCTCCTCTCGGAATTCATCAGTAGCGCTGTAGAAGAGAGGCGCAGGTTGAGACACAACCCTTGAACCAAACGGGAAGCCTGATAGTTGAGAACCGGCAGGTTGGTATGGGTCGGCCGCATTCCTGTGGAAGAAAGAGCGCGAAGAGGGCAAAAGAGAATTTCGAGGTTGTTGCAAGAGACGTTCATGCCCCTTTCTTCGGGGGTCTTCTGGATGGTTCATGACCCGTGACTGGGACTGTGCGAGAAAACGGGAGGCATCTGGGCAGGGAGTGAGCGATGAGGAGCACGGTATATGATGTATAAGAGACGGAATAGTAGAGGGTATTCATACATTCGGAGAACATGTCGGACCTGGTTCTCTATCTTTGTTTTCGTCTTCTTGACACCTTGACTCTTAACCAATGAGCCGCTAAACCTTCTTATATTCAAATCACTGGTTGTCCAGATTATAGCAGACGAAGCGGTGTGAGCGGTATCAACCCGATGCAGTTGAAATTCAGTGGGAATCGAAGGACTACATAGCAAAGAAGCAAGATGGGACAGGGCTATCCATCAAAAAGAAAAGAGATGACGGATTGGGGTATAAACTGCAGAAAGAGTTCAGACAGGCAGAAAGCGTATGAAGGTAGCAGTAGTCTTCCCTTGCGATCAGTAGGTGAGGTTGCAAGCGTCATCAGGCAAGGTCATGGTGATAGATGACTCAGCATCCATGCCATTCGTCTGATCGGTTTAACTTGCTTGGACTGCAGAATGCGCCCAGTAAGTACAAATGTTCTCGGTGTGCAGAGCAGGAAACTGGAGCACTTCAGACCATAGCGGAAAGAAAGAAAAAAAAAAACAAGGGGGTTGCGGTGGACTTTTCCTTGCAGTCAATATATGTGAGGCTTGAACAAGGTAGGATAACAGTAGTTTGGGGAACTACTACTAGAGGGGACTAAACTATCGCAGCTCCTCCCGTACTTAACCAGTGGATAACTAGTCAGAAAGACCATCATTACATAACAGCTACTTGCTCTGTACCCAGCATTCCTCGGTAGCTCCACTATAGCTTGGTTGGTCATCTACTGGCTACTCCAGACTGGTTATCGATTCCGTCCTACTACTTATCTTATCCCGCACTTTCCTAGTAGGTTGGAATCCAGCGTTATACCCGACTGAGTTTAGTAAGGCTGAACGTAAAAAGAGAATCCCTTCCCGTGCTGAGGACGAAGAAGTTCACAGAGTACTTAGCATCATTAATTATCGTACGATTATCTCCCCATAGGCCGACTGACACCAGGTTGAGCCAACCTTTCCATTTCCCAAGGCGAGTATCCGTTTTATTTGGTCGCCATCTTCCATCAGTTGATTTTTTGGGAGCATGACTCCTACAGACCTTTAAAGTCCACGGGCATTGATCGATCGAAAAAAAAAAAAAAAAAAATATTCACCTAAAGTCTCGAGTGCCGGCATAAGCGACATTCCTCTGCTGTATCCATGTCACAGCCATGGGATTATATTGCTAAACTTGTTTGCATCGGGGACTCGGGAACTGGGAAGTCTAGTGTGGGTACACTCACGCTTGACAGACCATCATACCGCTGACACACGGCCGCGACTTTCTAGTTGACGATCCGACTCTGCGAAGGGCGCTTTTCGTCCTCCCATGATGTTACAATCGGCGTCGAATTCGGTTCACGGATCGTTCCGGTGGGCCCGCCGGCTTCAAAGGCCTTGGGAGGCGAGTTCGACGATTCTATCCGCAATCGTGCCCCTTCACTCACATCTTCGCCCTCATTGCCCGCTACGACTACAGCCAGCGAATCAGTCGCTTCTGGACTGCCCAGTCCTCCACGTAGGGTACAGGAGCTCCAGAAAAGAATGAAGTTGTCGCTATGGGACACCGCTGGCCAAGAAACGTACAAATCTATTACCCGCTCTTATTTCCGTGGTGCTTCGGGTGCCCTACTGGTCTTCGATATCACTAGACCTTCTACATTTGTATCGTGCACACAGTGGCTCCATGATCTGCGGCAAATTGCGGAAGATGGCATTGTAATTGTTCTGGTCGGCAACAAGAGCGATCTTGCCGCTGATGAGTCGAGATCGCATCAGACAGTCACTAGGCAAGAAGCGGAGGAGTGGTGCCGTTTGAATAACATCACACGGTATGTTGAGACAAGCGCGAAATCCGGAGAGAACGTGGAGCGTGCATTTCTTGAGGTAGCCGAGATGATATACCGCAACATCGAAGCTGGCAAATATGACCTCTACGACCGTCGAAGTGGTGTGAAGGGCTATGGTGCTACTGGTGGATCAAACTCAGGTATCCCAAATACTGTCACTTTAGGCGTGGATGATGCCATGCGCAAGGGTGGAAGTGGCCTGGCAGGAGGCTGTTGTTGATGGATACAGGATATTATACCTTATATCGAGCTTGTTGTTCAAAGTTGTCACGGGACAATATCTTGTGCAAACATGTAACGGTCCTTTATAGTCGCCCTTGGAGAAGTATGGTTGTGTAGGAATATGGAACAGGCTCAGATTTCGCCCAGTAATCTCTGTGACCTTAGTTTATATACATCTCGAGCCAATGAGGATCGAGGTAATTGGTACAGAAGAGCGAAGCAATATACATTGACTGCTACAAAATAACAGAGGCGCGGGGCGCATATACCAAAACCTGAAACACAGCCAATCTAAATATCTTACAGCTGACTAGAGTAGATAGTCCACGAGCCAACAATAGTAGTGACAAGTATGGTATTGCATATGAGGTACAGCGATGACGAGAAGCGGTATATGTAAACAGGTGTTGACGATAAGGGTGGCGATTACGGTGGTGGTGATGAGATGGAACGGCTCAATTGGCAATCCGCCAGCCACTGAACCAGTTCAAATGAGACCACTGCTGGCTGGGACCTTCAATACCAAACACAATAGCCCGGAAGTATGCGAACAAGCCAACAATCGCGCAGTACAGCAAGGTATAGATCGCCCAACGTAGCTTGTTGCTCATCTGCTGTGTGAACCAGTCAACGCAGAATCCGAATGTGAGTATGGCATAGTAGAGTGCCGGATAGTAATGGTGAACGTAAGTCACTCGTGCCATGACCGCAAAAGGTAGATAATGCAACACCCACCCAATGACTGGGTATAGACCGGAATAGTGGATGTGGTCAATATCCGCTTGGGTAAGTTCAGTATATCCTCGCTGCCAACGCACGAGATACCAAAGAACCAGAAGGGCAAATATTCCAAGACTTAAAGTACTCCCCCAATATACGAAGGGGTTTCCGAGAAGGTAGTACTTGATGGTGTTGTCATCCCAGGAGCACATACGAAGGCCCACATTGAGTATGGGCCATTGCCAGAACTTAGAGGCGAGGTCATCTTGCTTGTCCGGATCAGGGACAAGAGCATTGTTGGACGTCATCATAGCGACATTCAGATGGATAAAATCCTTCCAGAACGGAGACTTGTAAGATCCGGGATCACCTGGTGGAACTGGGTAACAAAATCAATATCCGATCGCCACAATCTGGGAGGAATAGACCAGAAATAGGGGTAAACTTACGCCTCTCGTTGTAGTGTGACTCGACATTCCAATGAGTATAGACATCACTGGGCTTATTCTCCTTCACGCATGTGGTCTCAATCTGTTTGAAGCCCCATTGGGGCAGGTTTACATTTCCTGCACGCAAGTAACAGCCCAGGACAGGATGTTTCAGGCGAAATGCCGTAGTAAGAGTTCGAATCCTGCTCCTGTCCCTGGATGCAACATCATCAACGACTTCAACCGCCCAATGATCTTTGTCATCGCCAATGGTAATGTTGCCATAACAGGAGACTTCAAATTGGCTCTTAGTAACCGGTGCAGATATAGCATGCGAATGTAGATTCCGACCCGTCTGCCCATGGATTAGACGGATGATGTCTCCGTCACCAACGAATCTCAAGGAGCCCTCGGGGTCATAGTCCGGCTCATACCTATTGGGGTAGATGAACCAGTCGTTGTTGGAGTCCTTGTGATGATAGCACGTCACCTGCTGTTGAGTTGACCCTTCAGGATACGTTTGGATATGCGAATGGAGAAGTCCACCACCATACCCCATGTTTTTCAGTGTCACCCTCGATCCCAGTGCTATCTCAAGAGGACTATCCTTCCCGACCTCGGTGCCCTTCAAGTTTGCCTGGAAAAGTGAGCTCATCTGGGCATCTCCTGGACCACTATTCTCGAGAACCCAGAAATGAACATAGAAAGACAGAATGTAGACAATGCAGGGCACGATAATGAGGCCCACTATGCGAGCAACTAGATGTTTCGCTACCACAACCTGCCGAGCATTAACCACCGAGCTGAAGTCGTTTACATTCCAGTAAGTCACTTACCTCAGGCATTTTAAGGTCGCCGAACTTGTTCCATAGATCTTCAACTGTATAAAGGCCCACAATAGCGGTGCAGAAGAAACCGACCCATTTGACACTGCAGACACAGCCAATGCTCACGCCGGTGAGAAAGAGCCACGCAAACCATTCTGCCGAAAAACTAGCTTTCTGCAGTCGATGGAATTTGGCCCAACATAATGTGGTTGTAAACGTGAAGCAAAGTAGCATGGAATCAAGGAGGATGAATCTCGAGATGGTGGCATACGAGTTTTCGAATAGCACCATCAGACTGATAAGCCAGACAGTAGCCTTGCGAAAACCCAGCTCCCGTGCGGTATAGTAAGCAAGCGGGACACATACCGCGCCGAAAGCCGCATTGAAAATACGCATGAACGTATAGTTGACGTCTTCGGGATACTTCTCACCGGATTTGAATTCGAACGAGCCATTATAACCAGCAAGAAATCCCGACAAGCCAACTAGCATCTTCCCCAGAGGCGGGTGTACATCAAAATAAAATTCGCGCTTCAGATAGTGTGAGCCAAATTTTCCGAAGCTGCATATTATTATCAGGACAAGACGTTAGCACTCTATACTGGCAAAAAGAAAGATTAAGATAGAAAGGTTTTTGGTCTTACTGTGCCTCATCCCATGTCACGATATCTGAACGACCAATTTGATACATTCGTGTGAAAATTGCCAGAGCAGTCAGAAAGAGAGGCGCAAATATAGGCTCCCAGCTGGTCACCGCAGAACGAAACGAGGAGGGCTAAGACACGCGTCAATATTATCGGCCATCAGGTGCAGTAAAGCTTTATGAAGCTTCGGTCTAGAGCGAGCATCATACCTCTTGCTTCGATTTCTTGGCATCATATGCATCATGATCAGGAGCACGGCTGAACTCCTGCGTAAGAGGGGCAGTTCTGCGCCGCACTTCAGAGGAGAGATCAACCCCAGAGCTTGACGCCTGGTTTACTCCCGCCATAGTTGCGGTATAATGAGCAGCTAAACAAATGCGGGGACAGGGAGTGGCGAAAGAGAAAGCAAGTAGAGAGTATCAGACTGCCACAGGAAGCTGGTTGAATGTAGAGCAGCTCGCTGGGATTGACTTCAGGTGTGAGTTGCAAACATTTCTTATGAGAAAATCACAATGATTGGTCTAGCGTGCAGTACTCCAGCTTTTGTTGAGAGTCTGGAGAGAGGAAAGAAAAAAGAGAGGGGCCGATGAGAAGGTACCTTGAGAACACAAGGCAAAAGTATGGAGGGGAAATCAGGATAGATTGAGCAGACACCGCTTAACCAGGGTCAAAAGGGTAAAGTAAGGTAAAGAATGGAAGGTTTGTTAAATTGATAAAGGCAATCTGAAAATTTGAGGCAATGAAAGGGAAGAATAGAAAGATCGGAAGCAAAAGAAAAGGGGTCGAATGTTGAGGGTGGGAAAGAAAGTCAGCCTCTCGAAGGGTTCCCTACTCAGAATGTAAGACGGAGTGGAAGCGCAAATGGCGAGTTGGCCTGGAGATAACACGGAAAGCTCGGGCGCGTGGCCTGAAAGCTCCGTTCCGCCTGGGCCACTTCTGAAACCTCGACTGCATCCTCCGTCTTGTTCGTCGGCAATGACGGCGAATTACTGAGAGAGGTATAGCGTGTCTAATGGGGGCAGGCATGTATGTCATTGCCATCTGTGGCATCATATATGTGTGTGACCTCTACAATGGAAATTGTACTGACTGTTCAAAGGGTGGTCAACCTTCCCATCCCTGGACAGAAATTCGGTCCCAGATGCTTCGAAGTGGCCTTACTGTTCAACTGGTTCTCCAATTTTCCCCATACTTAACTAGCCGGGCTTGATTACTGTCATGATTCATCACCGTCGTGCCTCACTGTCGCGGATTAAAGATATATTAGAAATGCGACCAAAAAAAAAAAAAAAAAAAAAAAAAAAAACAGATATTGCCGTGGGTTGGCGATTCCAGCTTTTGCTGCTCTCCTCTAATTCAAACTGAACTGAGTATCACCAGCAGAACAGGCATCTGACAGTCTATTAACGAAAAGTACTTATCAGGCAGGTACCATGGAGTCGATGAAATTTGCCTGTTACGGTATTTTGCGAAAGTTCACGGAGACGAAAGCCAATCTGTCGAATCGAATGCAGTTATGCAACGCACAAATTGACTATGAATGGGAACATTTTGGTTGAGTCAGCGTATCCTACCTCACCGGCTGTTGGTTAATTAGATATTCCATGTTCGAATGTAAAGGTTCTCCACCTCTATTCAGGGAGGAGGAGGAAGGCGGTGTAATCTGCCTGCTGATTTAGCTTCAGGGCATAAGGAGCCACGGACAATTCGTAGATGGTTCGAGGTATAGATTGATAATGAATGAATCTGCGCTGGCTGTGTGTACGCAACGAGGGTCGTAAACCCGAACCTAGACGAATAACGTCTACGCTATCACTATGACAGGCAGGGTGCTTTATTTCACATAGGGACACAAGTGCGTGCCATGGTAAGCTTCCCAAGCTTCTCATGTATCTAGGTCGGCATAAGACGTACGAAATGATTTTTTTTTTCTTTTTCGATAACCTCGTTGGTACTATGATATACAAGGGGATCAGAGATTATTTTTCTCTAATCATTTATTACCACCCTTCCACATCGATGGATCGTGGCAGCATATTATGCAAGTCAGAGAAATACCTCTGAGCCTGAAAGGCCCTTGATAACACTGAGTCTTCGAGACGAAAGTTGCTCGCGGATTCTCATTTCTGAAGTCACGGAGTAGGATATGGCGCGATATGTGCCTTACGCTTCAAACATTTCACAAACTGTCATGTTTTAAAACCTATTCTGGGGCATGGTATACGTCTCGGTATATATTTACATGCATACATGTAGATGATGTCAGAAAGAGAAAACGGTGCAGTAAATCGAAATAGAGCCTCGGCAAGATCAGCATATGCGAGACCAGGGTCGAGAATATCCTAGTGTCAGTCCACGAGAAAAGGAAAAGAATACAGTTAAGTCGGTGTACATAAGGATGAAAAGAGAAAACAAGAGTGAAAGAGGTAGGTACAGCAACAGGATGTTTATATGTCTGTATCGGTTACATGAGACTGGACCATACGCGGTGGCCCTACTCATTCTCCTCCTGCCCAAGACGTCTATACTGACCGGCCTGTCCTGTTGATTCCGATCCTTTGTGTCGGGTAATCATATTCGAAATCCAGCCTCCAAAGCCCTCTGGTCGACTACTAGTGTCTTCCCGGAAGCCTGTCCTGCCAGGCTTGCTACCGGTACTAGAACTTACATTCGGTGGGTCAATGTCCAAGCCAGGAATGGCGCTGTCTGCCCCCAGACGGCCATACTGGCGTCTGATGTCAAGCGAAGGTACAGGAGAGCCTGCACTCATGAGAGAGCCACGTTCTCCCTGAGTTGCTGGTGTTGGCATGGCAGTAGTTGCATCCCCAAACAGCAAATTCATGTCTTCCAAGCGGACACCACTCGTTTCCGGATATAAAAAGTAAACTGTAGTAATGTATTAGACTTTTGGTTAATTATGGGAAAATTGACATGGCGCTTACCCAGGACAAAGCTGCAGGCACAGAAAAACGCATGCACCAGGTACAAGCGCCACTTGATAGCAGCTTGTAAAACAGGCGTGACCTCTCCGACAAGCCAATTAAAAGCCCAATTAGTGGCTGTACTAAGACTTGCGCCTTTTGCACGAATGCTCAGTGGGAGAATTTCCGGGGGGTAGAGCCATGGTATGGGTCCCCATGATGCACCAAAAGCAGCATTGTAGATCATGACAAAGATAACAGTGAGAGTAGGTGTTGCCACGACGTCGATATATATGAAATATGAAATCAGGGAGAGTGAAACAATCATTGCCACCGCTCCAGAAAGAAGGATGGGGCGCCTCCCCCAGCGATCCACCAGATACCATGGAGGTACTGTAGAGGCCAGATACGAGATTGCGTTGATCCCAGTCATTAGGATAGCGTCACGGCCAGCCCAACCTGCTGATTCGAATACAAGCGGGGCGTAATACGAGATGACGTTAATACCGTTGAGCTGAGCTAAGGCCTGTGCCGACATCGCTATCAAGACCCTTTTGTAGTAACGCCTGAACATATCAGCGTAAGATCTTTCGCCTTCTTGCCTTTGCAGAAGAACGTTCATCTTAATCTCTCTATACTCTTGTCTGGCTTTGTCACTGTGCAAGTCTCCACTTCCATATAGATTTGCAATGACAACCATACCCTCTTCATCGTGGTCATTGTCCAACAGCCACCTAGTCTTGCATTAGCATGGTGAAAAGCTAAGTTTTCTCCTGCATCACGCATGGACTCACCTTGGCGACTCGCAAATGATGAGGCTACCCACACCAAGAAGAGCACCCATGACGCACTGGAACAACAATGGTAGGCGCCACGAGTAATTACTTTCTATAAAGCTACAGAAATAATCCACCCAGACGCTGGCTGCGTATCCGGAGATGTTCCCTGTAAACTCGATACATGCCAGTTTTCCTCGGTTGTGGGGAGGCTTAGAGAACATTAGCAAAACAACCGAAGCATTATGCAACAAGGGTGATTGTGAATACCGATATTTCAGACTGGTAGACTGGTACAATTGTCGACAAGGCCCCAACGCCCAAACCTGCGACGATTCGACCGGCCATCATCATAGGCAACCCGGTAGCAAAGGCCTGCAATGCACCGCCAATAAAGAATACTATGGAGCCATACAAGATCGTTTTGCGGCGTCCGATTAAGTCGCCGAGTCGACCGACAAGTAGAGAAGATATGAAAGCCCCTACTTCGAGGATCGCAACCACCGTACCTATTGCAGCTCGCGAGGGTTGATTGAAGTAATCCTTGAAATACCAGCCTCTGATCGTGTGTCAGCAAAGCCCTCCATTCCGTTGAAGAAAGATAAGACGGACGTTATGATCCCAGACATAACACCTTGGTCATAGCCAAAAAGGAAGACGCCCAAGGATACGAAAACACTCGTGAAGTACCTACATAGCTGGTCAGCAGAGCTAGTAGGTAACATTTGTCGATGACGAAACCTCTTACAGTAATGGCTTCCCAACCAAGCCATGCACGTGTGCGCTTTGTCGATTATTGGGCGACATTATGACAGCTAAGAGGCGCTCTGCCCGAGGAATCTTCCGGGGTGGAGGGCAGGGTATTTCAATCTTCTCAACGTCGTCTTCGCCGATAACAAGCTGGCTGGGGTAATGGACACGATTCTGTTTCTCGGTCCGTACACTGGATTCCACCCGACCAGAGCTTTCACGATCTTCTGAGCTTCTGAGTGGGATCCGAAGATAATCTTCGGCATTAGCAAGCTGTTCCGTCAGATCTCCACTGTCAGTCCAGGTAAAATGCTCAGACCCAGTGGAGTGAGTCGCTATAGAGGAAGAGCGTCGACTGCTCCTCCCACTAGCAGGTTCTACTTTTTTAGCGGGTTGAGGGACAGAGGACCTTGAACTTGAAGGAAGATTTTGCAAGGGTATGCCAGAGGAAGTATGGGTCGGGGTCGTTGTGAGAGGAATGTTGGCGGTTGTAATGGGCTGGGATTTACAGCCCCCCTTTCTTGGTTGAATATTAGCTTTTTTCTTTCTGTCACCACTCTTTCACGCGACCAGAATATAAGATCGCTGCGAGTAAAAATCAAGGAGAGCTGGTAATTTTCGTAACGCTCCGCAACAATCCGAATTGTGAGTTTTCATCAAAGCGGCATGTAAAGACAACTGCTAATCTATTTGGAAGGGATGGATCAGAAGGACAGCGGTGCAGAGTAATCGCTGCAATAGGATGGAAGACCACGCGCCAAAGCGGAGACAAGCGAGTGAGGTGAACCAACTGTTCACAAGGATACCGAAAGGGTGTAGAAAGCGGTGATGACAATCCTTGGGGGGTTTGCTCACGAGACAGGCAATACTTGGCAGATCAACAGCGCAGGATGACGGTGCCCGGAGGTCCAACAGCCTAAAAATGATCAGGTGAAAAACTTAAGAGGGGACAAAGGAAAGCAAGATGAGGTAAGGCTAAATGGCATATGTTTGGCAATCAGTCCAGAGGTAACCTTTGGCTTGTGTACATAAAATCGTCCCAAGGTTGCTTGCTGGGTTTCCCAGGGGGACTAGCCATGAATTAGGGAAGGCAGCTGTCAAGCCATCGATGTGACTACCGTTACGTACCTTGATGGGGTTCTCGGAGACCCCGCAAACACTGGCGCTAAGTGGGTACGAGATTCTGCCCAGTAAACTACGTAGTACTTTAGTGTACCAACCATGTTACCGGCAGTGCCCATCAGCGATTCCATCTGTGGCGGTGCGATCAACGAGGGTACCCTTCCAGTACGTGCCTAATGATATTTACGAAGATCAAGAAGACTTAATATGAGGCGCGGTATTATATGATTCTCACGTACAAGGGTCGCTATTCAATTCTGACTATATATAACATCTCATTTGGTGGTATTGTTTCAACAATACTGTCATGCAAGGCATATCTTTGGGTGGATCCCTTAGAGCCTAGATTATGTGAAAAGAGCCCATATAGATCCAGGAATCAGTATCGTATCATCGATCTCTGTATTATACACTCCTATATATAGACCTGTAATTGTAGGCTTGTGGTGTCTCGGCTAATTACTCGTGATACAATGAAATGCTTCAAAGGGAGTGACGCAAAGCTGGCTGGTCATTGCGGCTGTCGCCTGGAGCACACAAGTAGACAGACTCCTTGATGTGTTAGCAGAAAATTATGATTATTCTGTAGGACATCGTTGGTTAAAGAACATTGTTGTTTATCGCCTGTTTTGATTCTAGTAGATAGGTAATCATGCACGGGTAACCCCTTTGCTACTCGTCGTTACTATGTATACCTAGCTTTCATGGACCACGAGCGACAATGAACTTTTATCATCTTGACACTTTCTATCCGAAATCAACTTAGCGGTTATACCGAACACACTACACATCGTTTCTCGATGGCCAATGGCTTTTTCTTCCCCCTGGGGGAAGCGCAATGATTAAACCAGCATATTTATCATGTCAAAAGAATGTCATAGCCATCTTTCTGGATATATACAGCGTCTGCCATATTAGCGTACTTACGACGCACCAGCTCGAATATCACCAAGCCTGCACTAGTGCTAGGTACTTGACGGATGGCGTCCCTTGCAAACCCACGGAACAGCCAACGACGCCAGCCACCTGCTCTGGATGCCTTTCTCCTGCATCTCTTCAAGGTTTCTTGGTATGCAGAGTAATACAGGCGCAGCATTTCTCGTCTTGAAGGATGAAGACTCGCTTGATGGTCAATGTATTCCAGGCGAGCAACATGGAGACTTTGGATAGCACTTAGCGGGTGCTGTATACTCTGTTGAGCAACTGAAGCTGCAACACCTGCAGCCATCAAGAAACATGGCTCCAGAGCATAATGTGGCCTTATGAGCGGTACGCCGCGGTCACTCGATTGGATGTGCTGTAACTGTTCCGCGTAATGAGTCCGCCGTGAGCCGTAGTACCAGGTCAGAAATGAATAGTAGGCCTGCGACTTCACGAACTCGAAGAAAGAGAAAAATACTGCATAACCAAAAGCGTCGCGAGTGAAAGATAAACCCCACCCTGCGAATATACCACGGACTCCAATCTGATTGAGTTTATGGCGGCCATAATGCCACATGCTCTTGTATGGGCCCTCAAGCAAGTCACTCGCTCGGAGACGGACCTGAAGCGCATCCAGAGGAGCGGCTACTACTGACTGAATTGTACCCGCTATAAACCCAGCTGCAAATGTGTTTGAAGGGGGAGCAGGTGGATATACGCGTTTGATGCCTTGGGACGCCGGTTCGTACAAAGCGCCAAGGACTTGTAGATATGATGTGTAAAGGACGGCTCCGATTCTATCTATAACAGTTAGACAACCCAGGCAACCAAATTTGAGACTAGGTAAACCAACCCAGCGTTCGCTAGGAGAGGTGGCATAACTTGATTAGGGATGAAGCGCCACCCATATGTGCGAACGGCATGGACAAGTAACCCCGGAGTAGTTGTGTGCAGAGACCAACCGGTTTTCGCAGAATGAGGATTTACAGCTCTAGCGAAAGACTAGCGAAATAACAGGAAGAGCCATATATATCAGTTGACATGGACTCCAGAGATCAGTGCAACCAGGCCGGCGAAGGAACAATGCAACCGCATACCATATAACTGAACAAGAGCATGGGCTGTCAGTGACTGAAGGGACAATACTTGTGAGACAGTCTAGTATCATACTCAACTCGGGTGCGAAAAAATGCCTTGATAGGTGCTCTGAAGTAGAATGCAACCAATTGTGCACTAAGAGCACGCACCCCCGCAGCAGAGGCACCAGTAGCTGCATTCTGTCGCGATTTTCTGCGTGACGGATTCCCCGAGTCCAAGCTCGAGGTATGATCAAATGCGGGTAATGTCTGAGTAGTGGCCATGCTGAGGCGTGTGAGAAAGCATTAGAGGTGACAGTTTATCAGTGATATACAAATATAAGCATAGCGCTTATTCCAATGACATTGCCAGCCCGCGCTGCAAGATTCCATGAAAGATGTCCTAACTAGAGGCACATCATACACTGAATGAGGGCTAACTCGTAAGGTGAGGATAGCTATGATGAAAATTGTTGATGACTAAATAGAATGCCAGCTTCATATGAGGAGCTAGAAGTGAATAGCCCACGAGATACTGAAGAAGTCAATGTCCGAGATGAAATATTTAGCCTTGAGGCGGAGAGGTACTAAGCATGGAAGGGTACTTTTGAGCAAACAACTCAAACACCGCTGATTTGTCAGGAACACTTGAACGAACGCGCCTTCGGAGGTTTCGCGTTTGCGCTACCCTATCTTAGTTTCTTCTACAGAAGTAAGAGCTAATCGATGAGTCTCAATCTACTCTCTTCCATTGCTCAAGTGAAGATATCCTCCAGTATATCTCTTTTTTTACCTTCCGCAAATCTGGTACATTGGATTTCTCATTACGAAACTTCGCTCACTGACCTCCACTAAATCCCACCCTACCTTCTAAGGTTCCTACGGGGACTTTCTGCACAAGCTGAAGTTTACGCCAAGCTGGCAGGCTGCACCGATTGATACACTCACATCATGGCCGAAGAGATTGTGATAGACAAATCTACTTTCTTCAATAGATTATCAAGCTTCTATAATGCATGGAAAGCCGACAAACGATCTAGTCATGCCAGTTTCGGTGGTGTGTCGTCGATTGTAATCCTAATGGGCAAAACCGACGAAGCGAACAGCTTTCAGAAGAACAACGCAATGCACGTATGTCTTTCATCACCTCTTCATCCTATTCTTGTCGGCTCACCTGCCATCATAAATAGTTCTGGCTCCTTGGCTATGAATTTCCGGCTACGCTTCTTGTTTTTACGACGGAGATGGTGTATGTGGTGACTACCGCGAAGAAAGGTGAGTTATATCATAAGATGTGAATTTAGCTTGCCTCGATTACTAACATGCACATCTTGTTTGCAGCCAAGCACCTTGAACCCTTGAAAGGTGGCAAGATTCCGGTTGAGATATTAGTGACATCCAAGACTCCAGATGAGAAGATGAAATCTTTCGAAAAGTGCATTGACGTTATCAAAAATGCCGGTGTGAGTCCTACTGTCCTCAGCGTTAGCGATCTCGGATGGAACTGACTGTCCTGAAATGATAAGAAAAAAGTTGGCGTATTGCCGAAAGACACAACCGCAGGTCCTTTCGCAGAAGATTGGAAGAAGGCTTATGCAACATTGTCAAATGAAGTTGAGGAAGTTGACATTTCGCCCGCTCTTTCAGCTACTCTCTCTGTCAAGGATACTGATGAATTAGTAAGTTTTACATGTCTTCGGAGGTGTGACTGGCTGACACGACAAAGGTATCTATACGTAATGCATCGCGGGCATGCAGTGGTCTGATGTCTGAGTACTTTGTGGATGAAATGTCCCGCCTACTTGATGAAGAGAAGCAGATGAGCCACAAAGCTCTTTCAATGCGGATTGACGCGAAAATAGACGACGCAAAATTCTTCAACAAGTTAGCGAAATTGCCAGCAGAATTTGACCCCCAACAAATCGATTGGGCATATGGACCAGTGATCCAAAGTGGAGGGAAATATGATCTCAAGCTGACTGCGATATCCGACAACAACAATTTGCAGCCGGGGATAATAATTGCTGGCTTCGGCATTCGTTATAAGACCTACAGTTCGATGATTGCACGCACCTACCTAGTGGATCCGACGAAAACTCAGGAGGCAAATTACGCCTTTCTGCTAAACGTCCGCGAAGCGATTTTGAAAGACGTCCGTGACGGGGCCGTGGCTAAGGACCTATACAGCAAGGCAATGAATATGGTTCGGACAAAGAAGCCTGAACTTGAATCTCATTTCCTGAAAACTGTCGGCGCTGGCATAGGAATAGAGCTTCGAGACGCTAATATGGTTCTTAACGGAAAGAACGATAAAGTTTTGAAGAGCGGAATGACATTTGCTGTCACAGTTGGTCTGACTGACGTTGAAGACGCGAGCATCAAAGACAAGAATAGAACCGTTTATTCGATGATCATTACAGACACTGTTCGCGTCGGAGAAACCGGGCCTCTGGTTTTTACGAAAGATGCTGGTGTTGACATGGACTCTGTATCGTTCTACTTTGGGGATGAAGAAGAGCCACAGAGACCAGTGAAGGAGAAGAAGGAGGCGAAATCAAGCTCTGTTGCCAATAGGAATGTTACGAGAACGAAGCTTCGTGCTGAAAGACCCACTCAGATTAATGAAGGTGCCGAAGCACGGCGACGTGAGCATCAAAAGGAGTTGGCTGGCAAAAAGACCAAGGAAGGTCTGGACAGATTTGCCGGTACGACTGGCGATGATAACGGAGTCACACAGAAAAAGTTCAAGAGATTCGAGTCTTACAAGAGGGACAATCAGCTCCCAACGAGGGTGAAAGACCTAACCGTTTATGTAGATCAGAAGGCTTCCACGGTTATTGTGCCAATTATGGGTCGGCCAGTACCCTTCCATATTAACACGATCAAAAATGCTAGCAAAAGTGACGAGGGAGAGTATGCGTATCTCCGAATCAATTTCCTTTCACCGGGTCAAGGCGTGGGCCGAAAGGATGATCAGCCTTTTGAAGACCTCTCCGCACATTTTCTGCGCAATTTGACACTCCGGTCCAAGGACAACGACCGACTGGCCCAGATCGCTCAAGACATCACAGAACTTCGAAAGAATGCTCTGCGGCGGGAACAAGAGAAGAAGGAAATGGAAGATGTGGTAGAACAAGACAAGTTGGTTGAAATCAGGAGTAAGTATTGCTACTCAACCATCTGAATGCACGGGGACTGACTAGTTTAGATCGTCGTCCTGTAAAACTGCCTGATGTATACCTTCGGCCTCCTCTGGATGGTAAACGTGTTCCAGGGGAAGTTGAGATCCATCAGAACGGTCTTCGTTACATGTCACCTTTTCGAAATGAACATGTAGATGTCCTGTTCAGCAACGTGAAGCACTTGTTTTTCCAACCTTGCGCTCACGAATTGATTGTTCTGATACATGTTCATCTGAAAACACCTATTATGATAGGGAAAAGGAAGACTAGAGATGTGCAGTTCTACCGGGAGGCAACCGAAATGCAGTTTGATGAAACCGGCAATCGTAGGCGCAAGCATCGTTATGGGGATGAAGAGGAGTTCGAAGCCGAACAGGAAGAGAGACGGCGGAGAGCCGCTCTGGATCGGGAGTTCAAGGCTTTCGCCGAAAAGATTGCAGATGCCGGAAAAGACGAAAGCGTGGATGTTGACATCCCTTTCAGAGAAATTGGTTTCACTGGCGTACCAAACCGCTCTAATGTTTTGATCCAACCCACAACAGATGCTCTTGTTCAATTGACAGAGCCGCCCTTCCTGGTGATTACTCTGAATGAGGTAGAGATTGCTCATTTAGAGAGAGTGCAGGTAAGTGCAAATTTTACCACTGGTATTTTACTGCTGCTAATGTCACCAGTTTGGACTCAAAAACTTTGACCTGGTTTTTGTTTTCAAGGATTTCCACAGGGCCCCTGTTCATATCAATACAATCCCTGTCGAATCGCTAGAGGGTGTTAAAGACTGGCTAGATTCTGTTGATATCGCATTTACAGAGGGTCCACTGAACTTAAACTGGACAACAATCATGAAGACAGTCGTAAGTGACCCATACGGTTTCTTCGCTGATGGGGGCTGGTCATTCTTGGCCGCAGAGTCGGATTCAGAGGGCGGATCAGACGAAGACGAGGAGTCCGCGTTTGAGCTTTCTGAATCAGAGCTGGCGGCGGCCGACGAGAGTTCAGAAGACGACAGTGAATTCGACGATGATGCCAGTGCCGAGGCTAGCGATGACTTCAGTGCCGACGAAGAGAGTGGCGAGGACTGGGACGAACTCGAAACGAAGGCAAAGAAAAAGGACAGGGAAAGTGGTCTGGATGATGAAGATCGTGGGAAAAAGCGCAAGCGATGATCTGATCCCGCATACTACATGACAGCTAGCTGTGACATTCGAACAAGTGGCCTTTAATTTGCATCAATCGCTATTTAATACTTGAATTGTACGAGACGTTCATAAATTGTAATCGTCAGTTCCCAGGGAACTCTAAGGGCCAGGAATGAGACATTAATATTCGTGCTGCCATTGTTTTCTATCTATAGCTGGTATATGTGCAAATTATATATACCCCTGCATGCGTCCGTCACTTCCCTTCCCGCATAGCGGACCACATGCTCCTCATCCTCTCAGCTTGATCTGGAGTAAAACTCTCATAACAGTCATCAGATGAATAGTCCATAAAATTATGGATTGCATCAAGGCCAGGAAGATCTGGACATGAATCCTTCTCGGCGGGGCATCCGCTCGTAGGCTCAGATTGCTCAGGGGTGTCATCAATGTAATCTCCTTCATTATCAGGGGAGCACGATTCACCTTCGAACGTGTGCAGCAGCCCATTCCAATGGCCAACCTCATGAACCGCTGTGCCGCCCTGGTTGTACTGCGCTAAACTACCACCCGGCATGGTATCGGCTAACACGTTACAACCATCCTTGATGTAACTAGAACGAGGGCTGCTGGAATTCACGCTCGGGTCAGGCAACGTACAGAAGCCAAGGACAGTTGTTGATGATTGATCCGATACATCTGTTCGTCGATTGCCGTTATAGGGGAGGCCCCGAGAAGTGTCGTCTGAAGACGCCTGAAGATCTGTTTGGAAATAGACATTTAAAGTGCTATAATTGCCCCTTCGTAGGGCATTCTTCATCCCCAATTCGTCATCATTCCGCGCCCAAGAGTCATTTATATGACGAGTAATGCCCTCCAACCGATAGCTGATAGTCGCACTTTCATATGCCTTCTGAAGATAGGAAAGCTAGGAGTTGTTAGTCCAAAACAGGATATTGCGCAGGCATAAGTCAACAAATCAACGGTGACGGACCTGACTGGTGATCATGTCGTCTGATACTGTGTCGGATGCTTCATTGCTGCTTACGATATGAAACCATGTCTCGATTTCAATCATAGACACCACCTCCCGGCTTTCCTCAGCGGTGCTGCCACGTTGGTCCTGTAGATCATACAATCTCCTGTGCTCTGCTCGGAGTGACTCATCGGGCGCCGGTGTGGAGCAAAAGTCACGTCCAGAGAGCAGTGCGCTGCATCTGGTAGAAAGATTGGCAACAACAATGACGGTAAAGAGCGCGTGTAAGTTGAGTAACAATGTCATATTGTGTATAGGGCAGTGACGATTTTCTATTGCACCGAAGACAAGAGACGAGGTGAGAGATATAAGATCATAAGCCTCATTGCCAACCGCTACGTGGAATCTGTAAATATCCCAAACAATCCCCCGTGTCAGGAATGCTGCATGCCAGAGAAATGTCCCACAGAAGGGATACACGCGTTTCGCCGAGAAGATTGACACTCTCCCAGATCGCGCCAACAGGAAGGGCACAGTGACTAGCAGGTGCGGTTTATTTTTCCTAGATAGACAGATTTGTCGAAACTATCATAAAACATAGGCCCACGGGAAATACCTGTGGGTATCAGATCCTGTTTAGGAACGCCACCTACAAACGCCTAATAAAAATTCACACTGTAAGTTAGGTCCGTAGACCAAGAAGAGCATGAGCAGAACCAACATCGATGAACAATAAGTGAAGGGGAAAGTGAAAGTATGCTTCTTAAGTAGCATGAGAACCAAATCTGCCATCCCGCCCGGTTGCCACAGCCGAGCTCTCCTGCTCATTGTTCCAGGTCAAGTAAGTGTGGTCGCCAAGTTTCCTAATAAATCAGCCTAGGCACGGACAAAACACGTCAAGTTCACCAAATTTCCTTACCTCGGCCGAACAAGATGTGCAATGGTAAATAATGCCCCGAGAACAATGCATAGTCCACCTACAACGACGTAGGCAATACCCATGAATGGGTTTTGCCCGCCCATCACAGTCCGTGTTGATATGAGTATCGATTTAGTACCTCCGTACTCGGTGACAGGGAAGCCTGTGCGCGTTTTAGCGTTGACCTTGATGTTAAGTTGGATCTGGAAGCTTACGGTCTTCAATGTCCAATTGATAGATTCCTGCAGTCATTGCCGTTGTGTCGTTTCTGCGGGATAGCTTACTGAAAGCCGGCAGCGCAGCAGTTCTCATCCATACCATAAACTCTTCGTCTTCGTGAAGATTAGGTATACCGTCGACATAACCGTTAGGGTATCGATCGTGCCAATTAGGCGGAGGAACCACCTGCCATTTATTATACTGAGTCTTCTTGATGAGCTGCTTGTCACTGTCCCAAGCAATGCCTTTATTAGTCATGTTGTAGGTCTCAGCAGTCACACCATTGTTAATAAGCTTTGGGCTGCGGATGGTATCGTTAAATTGAGAATTGGCTATAAGGCCGCATGGATAATATGCTTTGCCAGTTGAGGGGTCAAGTTTGAGGGGGTCACAAGAGCCACCATTTATGGTGTTGTTGTCAACTGCTTTTCCTTTCAACTGATCTGTGTCCATGGACTTAACGTATCTCCGATGGTTCTGATAGAAGTTCGTTAAGCGATAATATAGAAGCACAGGCGGCTCCAAGGTATCCGGAATCTCAAACGTCAATCGACAGACTGTAGTTCCGCTCTCATTCAATCTTTGCCACGTTGGAATGGAATTATCGCCTGATGATTTGAACGAAGATTTAACTTGGTCTGAAATAGAGGCTGCATAGGTGGGCGCCTTCTCGGCACATTCAGAATAGTCTATGACAATCTCTTGTACCTGGTGATCGCTCGTCGGTTATTAAGAAGAAACTCTATGGGAGGTATTACATACCTGTGAACTTGCCCATAGCAGGAGACCACCAATGGGGGCGAATATCACACCGATAACAAAAAAAAGAGGCAGTACGCTCTTTGGGGTCAATATTGGTCTATATGCGTCAGCACGAGGGCAAAGTATACCGTCAAAGTAACTTACTGCCAGGCTTTCAAGCGCTGCTGTCTGAACGCAGTATCTGTGGTAATAAACTAGAGTTAGTAAAGAATGGCCCAGCTCATTCACAAGGAGTCAAAAGTCTCACTTGCTGGTCTCCTGTTCTTAGACTTCTTATCGTCAGCTCCCCCCCTATGTTCTTGCTCGTCCAAAGACTCCGCACGGGTCGCTTCGGGATGGGACATTGTTGTTCAAATCCTCCATTAAATGTCCTGGGCAATTACTACAGCAGTTGTAGAAGCACTAGAACAAGTGATATTTTGAAAGAGTAATTATAAAGATGGATAGAGAGTGAGGGTGAATGATGGTGGCGCAGGCTTAGCAGGCGACGGGATTGCGTAATTGGCGGGCTTTGACATCCCGACATCCGCTTGGGGGATACTGTTACATTGTCATGAACATTATTTTTTGTTCTCGGACGCTCCGAAAATTCTGATGCGCTCCAAAGCAGTGCATGAATTGTCACTGTTACAATACTGACTATGCTACCCCACTGTGAACTTATTGTTGGAAACATGTCAATTGAGCAACGAGAAACAATCTACCACTCTAATGAATACTAGACGCCATGGCAAGCCGTCGGCATAATGATCGGGAGAACGACATGAGAGACAAAACCTAACCTATCGCAGCCAATTGTTCCAGCCCTTGAGAAACAATAACGCCAGACAAAAAAAAAAAAAAAATAAGGGTAATTGAAAGCTGTCTGAAGACGCCAAGTGTTGAATCGAACCAATAACATCCGTATTTGATGGCCTAACGCAGCGAAAGGGAAATGGGGAAAAGAAAGAGCAATATAACACCGTATGCAGCCTTGCCACTTGTTGCAGAGAATCCAGCTATGCTCAGTGACAAATGTAAGTACCGTACCAATATCCGATGACTAATTGACGGGCGCGAAAGTTGTGAGTTGAGAAATGCAATTAGACTAATGATGGTACAGGCATGCGACCACGTCTCTGACGCATCATTACCAGTATATCAATGGGGAAGGCAGGTCATCGGGATCCACAGGATTCAACAGTTCCAAGCATATTATCTTCGATACTGTCGAAAATGTTCGGGATCGAACCAACCAACCCGCTCATACGCCGTCCAGAGCTTGCTTGCTTTATTGACATCAATCTTGCAAGCCTGCTGAGCATCGGTCTTCCGAAATTCCTTACCAACATTCAAAGCCTTCACGCGGGCTTCGAAAATGCGACGCTTGCTGCATAGGTAGGTCGCACATGAAAGCCTTAAAGTAGCAGCAAGGTTGAGCTCTGCAGAGCTCAGCAAATGCCGATCCGGATCATGGCTAAGATCTAACACTTGGCCTTTCCAATCTGCCTTTAGTGCCTTTGCGTTGCCTCCTAGGGTCTCTATTGAGGGGCAATAGTCCTTGATGGAATTGTAATCTGTATCATCCCGGTTTGTGCCTATGGCGCGAGGCGGCTTGGCACTCGACGGGGGTGAGTCAAATGTATCGAGGATCCTTTGCTTCGGTGTGGACTTTGGCGTCCGCTTTACCCTTGGTGTCCGTTGCAGACGAGGCTGGGCAGCAACTGCCCTCTTTGCAGGAGCCGGAGCGATCTTCTTCAGCTTCGCATCCATAGCACGTGGACGACACCGATTCATCATCAAAAGCTGGCGTTCTAAGGTCTCCCGCTCTTCCCTAGCCCATGCTGCTGGGTTCCGGTTAAATTGGGCAGATACAATCGGCACGCATGAAAGAGCTAGAAGATATTCGTCACGCGTCGGCTTGTTAAGTTTATTTTCAAATCTCGCCATGTGAGAATTTATATGCTGGTCAACCAACGCTTCCGCAGATGGGGGGAGCATGGACCCAAACAACGGCTCATCAGTGGCAATATCAGTAAGGCCTTCGTGGCGGGGAAAGAGAACAGGGTCCCTGGAGGAACCGACGACGGCATCCTTATCAATCGGTTCTGGTCCATTCGATCGCCGTTTCTTATTCCCAGTATAGGGAGTGACTGGCGGCGATGGCAAGTTCATTTCCGACTGTGTTCGCTTGTGATCACTCGGCATGGGAGGAAGCCTCACTTCATGGTTATACGGCGGATCCTGGGCCATTGTATACGGTGAAATTGTGGTGGGACTGAAGCTCTCGAGGGGCTTAGTCTCTGGGGGGGACATTAAACTCGAGACAGACGGCAGACGACTCATATTGACCTTATCACCACGACTGGTCAAAGAAGCAGCAGTGAATGAGGTCATCGCCTGAAACAATCTGATGGTTTGATTGCTTCACAATGGGAAAGTGAGCAGAATGAGTGGTGGGACGACTAGCTGAGAATAAATACAACACGAAATCTGCTTCTGAGGTCAGTTTCAGGTAGTCATCTGTTTGAAGGCGAAAGAACGTTTGTACGCTGATGAGATGGTGGTATGGAAGTCAATGGAACAGATGTTTGGCAATAATGTTGGCAGACACACGTGCAAATGATTTGTCAGGGCCGCCTCTTTGTCTGGTGGCAATAAATGGATATTGGTTGGGTCTCGGCGATAAGGCTCACAATGGCCGAGTAGACTAGAGTTACTGAATATGAGTAATCAATCTATTTCGCCTGGTGTTCGATTGTGTGTCCAAGTTTACTCGAAAATTTGGGGTTCCTTGAGGAGCAGAATCAATTAAGACTTGTAGAACAGCGAGCTGGTTCCTATTGACGGGTAAGAACCGGCACTCAGGCGTATGAGTCAATGTGCCGGATGGGAACTACTAGTAGCAGTAATGAAATACATCAACATTGTTCATGCGGGGTTGGCGCGTGGCAGTAAAGGGGAACCGTGCCAGCGTCTAATCCCAAACGCCTAACACCGGATAGCTGGGAGCAAGATCAGAGGTTGAGGCTGGTGACCTAGCGCTTGAGCAATTACAAGTCAAATATGAATCAGAAGGAACGGCCTGGCGCTTTGACAGCGAATGATACGATGTTATGGGAAAGCCATATGATGAGAGGGTTTGGTAAATGATCTACCACATGACGACAACAGCCATGGGAAAGCGGGGTCGAGTACTGATTACTGTGTAATAAATAGAAAAAGGGGGGTGGAGCGCAAAGGCTGTTGGCTGTCTGTTTGGGATCCATTGAGGGGCACCAATTCCGTTTAGCGGTGTACCCACCAATGGCTACTTCTTGTGACTTGGTAGGCTTTCTCCGGCATGTTAGGCTGAAAACTATGACTATCTTCGTACTGTGTACGGACTTAACAAAAGTCAGATCATCTGTTGCTGCATCGCAGCCTAATAATATACAGTAGCTGACACTGAGCCCCACAGATTCCATTGTTGCCTGACAAGTCAGACTGGGCATCCTTCATGACCTCCTTAGACAACGTATTGTACACAGAAGAGGGAGGGGGGTGTATTTAGCCGTCGATGAGAGTTGTGATGCAGTGGCTCCGTTGACCCTTGCATAAATAACTAGTGGGGTGTATGTACTTACAGTTCTCTGATTAACAGCCGGACAATCAGTCGTCATCTGTCCTGCATAGGTATAGTACAGGCAATGAAATATGTTTGATATGATAATCTATATACGGTTTACCAACAGACAATTATAACTGCTTGCTTCGCTCGTACTGATTCTGATAATTTGGCAACCTAAACAAGTTGCCCACTCAGCTGAGTAAGGTCCCAGTCATCATTTCCCCTACATATAACCATCTATCTTACTTAATATTGGCAAAAGGATGTCCGGAGGTGTGCTCCAACAGTCAATAATAAGCGCTAGTCGTTTAGTGGTAGGCTTACAATCTTATATATATTAAATATGTTATACTTACAATAAAAGGTATTGTGGAGCTATTTGAACTGACCTTTTTTATGTAAATATTCGTTAATGCAATTCTTATAATAAAATCTTGTGTATCTGTCTGCTCGTCTATTTGTTAGAAGCAGAGCAGCCGGCTGGCTGCAACCCGGCAGGTTAGATGATTCGCGCAGTGCTATTAGTCATATGATCCAGGTAACTAAGATTATATGACTAAACTAAACTATACAATACGAGTCTTTCAAATATATAGGTGGAAAGTGATCAGTTCTGAGTAAATCAGTAATTATTATTGCTATGGTGGCATCATCATAATAATAATTATTCGATCTTATATAAGTAGTTATGCTGTAGACTTGAGATGTAATCTATATAATAAATAATAGGAAACTTATCAGAAACCATATGATCTTGTCCTATTAAATAGTTACATTTTATAAATTATATTATTAATTACCATGACTCTCTTATCTTATTGATCATATACAAAATGATTATTTTCATTGATGATCAGGCTGTAATCTAGACCTGTATTAGTTATTGAAGTGATATTTAATTATAATTATGACAGCTGGATGAAATTTATGTTATTAATGTATTTAAACTAGAATATTTAATATAAGAAGGGAAAGTTGGAAGTTTGAAAATATATATATAAATAATAAATATAGGCAAATAAAATAAAATACATAATATCATATTATAGTTGAGACTAGTTGTTCTTAGTCAGAAACATAGTATTGTTGGTATAATTTGATATAAGTTTATTTATTTTAGTAGCGGTAAACTGCTGTAGCAGTTATTTATAAAAGCTAAAATAAATAAAATATTTAATATAATAACTTTATAAATAAAGATACCTTTTAAAGTTTCCAGCTAGATATTATATATAATTAAGCTTATATAATATAAGCTATGATTATTAATAATCCTTTACTATAAATAATTATAATATAAATATATAATAGAATAACCTAGCTATCAGTGTTAAGGGTTGTCCCTGGGTTCTAAGAGTATATTGCCTGTTAAACAGGAAGGAATAGCTAGTATCTAAACAAGATCTCAGAAATTTCAGTATTTTATACATAAATAACGATTAATTAGCTAGTAATGATAAGACTAGCTAGCTGAGTCTTTTATAATATAAAAATTTATTCTATAATATTATTCTTCTTTTTACCAGGTAAGACTTAATTAAAATATAATTATTCCAAATTTTTGCAAAATTTTGACTGTCTTTTCACTTTATTAGAAACTTATAGTATAATAATATTTTTAATTTTTCTTCTTATAGACAGATATTAGAATTGAAGTTTTTATATTTTTTATTTTATAATATTGTGATAGAATAACCCAGCTATTAGAGGCAAGATCATCAGGATGATGTATTATAATGATTCTAAGAATTATAA